CAGTTCATTAGCTGTCGTCTTGCTTCCCAGTATCTCCGGATTTCCGTCGTTGTCTTTAGGGCTGGACATCGAATCAGGTGGGTCTCCCCCATTTCCTCATGTAGGTTACATAGAGGGCATGTGAGTTGAGTGTTTACTCCCAATCTGTGAAAGTACTTTGCCAGGCAATCGTGTCCGGTACGTAGTTTAAACTCAACAACGGCTTCAATTCTTGGCCAGTCGGCTATGTCGGAGAGTGCCACTGTCCACTGTTTCTCCTTTGTTCGAGCTTTAGTTTCGTTACAACTTGAGGTCTTGAATTCTCTCCTGATTAAGGTCTTCATTGTGTGGAAAGGCATCGGCCGGTCCATGCATTGCAAAATTGTTGTCCCCTTCTTAGCAAGTGTGTCAGCAAGCTCATTGCCTTTAATGCCACAGTGACCAGGAGTCTATTGTAGGACCACTGTTTTGTTTTTCTCTCTCAGCAGCTCATAGAGTTTTCTACGTTCATTTATCTCAGCTGTTTTGGGTGGCTCCCTGTTTCAAATTGAGTTTATTGCTGGCACATATTATAACATAGCCTTTTCATTTCAAAAGCAGTGTGGGAAAACCCAATAGTGATTTATATTTTTGCGAAGAATTTAAGGCAGAAAACCAGGTTTGGTCCTATTTCGATTTCGAGGTAGTTGAGCATAGTTTAATGAATGTTGATTCTAATTCAAGCAAGTGCTGATAGATGGTGTTAAGGAAGTAGACATCAATGAATTCGATCCGTGAAGCTCACAATGTTATCAAGACAAACCAATAAAATTCATGCATACATGAACATTCTGGAAGTTGTGGACGTGAGTGAAGAAACATTGTAGCTAATCAAGAGCCAATGAAACTAGAATAGTATCGACTATCCACGTTGGCTATGCATATTGGTAAATTTCTAAAGCGTTCTGAGTTCTCGCTACTCTGAACGTATCCAAGACAGTTTATGCCATCGGACTCTGCTACAGCAATACTATATTTGTCTGCAGCTCCTTGGACTTCAAGTAGTAGGCTCAGAAGAAGGGGAATCATTAAGACATGGACAGTATGTCAGACAGAGTTTGGATTGAATATATACAGAAACGCAAATAGGCCAAATTAAAGTTGTAATTTAACACCTGTTTAGACGGAGACCAAACTTAGGACGATCAAGAGACTTCAGACTCCTCTCAATGTGATTGATATTCTGGCCTGATAGCAGACAGTTTGAAACCTCGACATTATGATATATTCTGTTTTTTATTTGCTAATAATATGGTATAACAGAAATATTCATCGTCTTTGTTTCAGCTGGCAATATGACACGTCGTGGGTTGTGGCGAAAATGCACTGTCATTAATGCCACTTGTGAAATGACTATACCATTCATTTCGGAATCCGATGGTAAGTTGGTAAACCACTGCACTCATTATTTCTCCACCCCAACCCCGCCCCAAAATGTGGTAAATGAGCATTACTTTCGGATGTAGGTTGGCAGGGTGCAGCCACGTGTATCCTCCTTGTCGCAATTTTCATTGGTCTCTTAGGCACTGGATTGGCAATATTTGGACATTCAGGATCGGACCTAGTTCAACGTCTCTACTACTTTCACTCCAGTGGAGAAATATTTTTTCTAGCAGGTGTGTGTCACAGCCGCAATTGTACAACATCTTTACTGGGTCGCATTAAGTAGGACGTATTTTCCGATTTAGGTTTTATTACATTTCTCACCTTCGGCATCTACCGCAGCTACGCCAATCTTAATCTCCTAAGCCCACGACAGACATCGCCCCAACCGACCACCACTCAAGACCCCCATCACTCTCTAGTAACTAATGCCACCTCTTCTCCAATCTCCTCCACAACTACCACTCTGAGTCCACAACTGCTGTGGCAGGTCTACTACGGCTCTGCGGACATCGTTGGATGGTGTGGAGGAATATTGTTCATGGTTGCTGCTGTTGCTCTGCTGGTAATTTACCCATAACTATTAATGTTGCCTTTGTCTATTTCCAGGTAAAGGGTGATGATGTCTCAGGCGAATTGGAGGGAGCGAGCAAGGTGGGTCTGGGTTCAATGAGGCGTACTGAGTAATTGAATGGTTTCGAAGTTGAAAGTGCATCGTTGCCTTCAATTCACGTAGTACTCTCCCACTCCTATTCTCTCCAAATTTTTTAGATACCTGAGTTTCACCTTAGAGACTTCAATTGATTTATCATACTGTGTGAAACTTTTTCGAGTCCACAAGTTTGACCATATATATTCGCAAACACTTGGGTTAAAAATGATTTGTTTGATTCCTTAAACAGAGACGCAGAGCTATCATTTAGAAACGAAAACCCGATTATCACATTGAAAATCGTACTAACTATTTTGACTTCAAAACTTATCTATTCATATCAAATGGCAGGCGTTTTGACGGTTATCATTAGCCCTTTAGTTGGCTTCAGGCTTCATAGAGAAGAAGGAACATCAAAATGGAAAAAATTCGAGAAGGGGGGGGGGAACAGAAGTTTGTCAAAGATGTAAAAGATATAGACACAAAGGTATAAAAAGGTGAGGTGAGTACTGTGAAAGTAGTCGAATATGACATACAGTGGGGTGATGGTAGTTTGAGGTCAGAAGTCAACTGACGGTTAATAGACTTTTGCCGTATGAGCATACGTTGTTCAGGGTGCACTACGTGGAAGTAAGTCTATCGCACACCCCGACTTCAAACTAATTCCACGTTGAAAGGTAACCAGTTGAAGAGTAAGCTAATTACTTGATTAGATGCATATCTTGAAAATACAATGTTGATTTGAGTGGTGTTGGAAGAACACCCAAATTACGACCTAAATTACGACGACATTCGGGAAATTTTAAGCCTTTGACTGTACAAAATCCCTGGAAATGTTGGGCATTCAGCTCACTGGAGAGTGACATTCGTTGTGTAAAAGCCTTAATACCATCAACAGCCAGGCTTATATTACCTTGGTATGCCAAAGTGAAAACCATTCTACACTTAAAACATGTACAACTTTCACAGAAAGTGCCGTTATCTAAAACTTAAATAATTGCCCATTTAATAATAATACAATAGACTCCTTGCTCATAATTTTAGATTGATGAGTTCCTTCATGAATTGACTCGGCTGGGTCATACGCGATGGCCAAGTTTGGCTCTATTCCTGCATTGGGGTGCCGTGAAGATGACATCGAGTAATCGGCGAATACGCAACGCTCATAGACGCTGTCTTCAAATTTTCCGTCGAAATCCACCCTCGGCTAGTTCCATCAAAATTCCAACGACACCAGCCACCACTTCTATCCCCGATTCCTCCCAACCCGTCTCCTACCGTCCGACAACTGGTGCAAGTATGAAACGACACAAACGGTGGCGTCTACATCGACAGTGATCACAAAAAACGACTTATTCTACTTCTTCTTCTACTACTAGCTTACTCAAATCTAGGCAAATCCATTCCGAACTACAGTCTATTCGGCTCCTATTTTTCTAACCAAAGTAACTGTTCAACTCAACACTCCAGAGTAATTGATTAATTTAAATTCTAGTAGGACCTGTTGAATTTGCTCTTTTCTTCCCACCCCCACCCCCACCCCATCCTCCGCCCTCCCCCCCTTCCACCAAACCCTCCCCCTTCACTTAACCTCATCCATCTTCATTTACAAACAACTTTGTTCCAATTCGAACCCCGGTTGATCATGAAATGCATTCACACCATCATCAAGGACCCCTCTATCACATGGAATCAAAAATTCCTTCTCTCCCCAAAATCTACTTTTCTCAACGAATTTTTTGTGACGTGCGTGTGTGTTTGTGTGTGACCTATTGAAAATTACGATGTTTCTTCTCTCTCTCCCACACACCCTTTTCCGTGGACCAAAAAATAAATAGATACAGAGGTATTGCTTATTCCTCACCTTCTTCTTCTTCTTCTTGTCTCATTCTACGCTTCGGAGGTATTTTAGAATGTGTGCAAACCAATGGGGAATGGGTGATTCGAGTAGATCAAAATTGACCCAATGACCAAAATAATGTAATTTGACAGGGGGTGACGCATTTATTTCACAGCATTTCTAGGTTGCTATCAGATCGCAATTTGGCGGACAAGTGGTGCGTTATCCAATCAAAATAGGCGTTTCAAGTCATCCTTCGATGACAAAATGGACACCAGATGGGTGGAAACTCATGCAATTTAAATCAATATTGTATTTTAATGCAATTCAAGTGATTCCATCATAAGTACACCAATTGTAATAAAGCCTTATGCTAAAATACGATGATAAGTACTTCTAATAAGGTAATTGATTTGACCCCATGGTGCAAAATTGACGTAAGGTCAACTGGTATCATCGATAATATTTGATTAAACGCACATCTTGCAAATCACTGATTTTGCCAATTAATGGCTTCGCTGAGCCCGAAATGGAAGGGGATCCAACATCTAGTGTTTTGCTACTGGTGCATTCGGGTTTTCACCATTCTATGGTTCCAAGCAAGCGTGAACTCGCTTGTGAAAGGGGAAAATGCGAAATTGTCGACAATGACGAGCCTACGCTCTTAAGAACCAATGCCTGAATATCCACCCCTCCCCCCCCCCCCCCCACCCCCCACCTCCCCATTCAAGCATTATCATATCTGACCTTTAATTGAATTGAATGATTTCAAAAGCTCAGGTCAAGAAGATTTTTTGGAAGCCAGATATGCAGACCTTCTAATTTCACAATGTACCAAATTTTATTCAAGTAAACTAATATGTAAGTCATTAGGTCTATCTTACGAATTGTATCCCTTAAAGGTTCATTTCATTTGATGGCCTTAATAATGAAAAGGAAAGGAAGGTTAAATTAGTTACTGTTCACTAGATTTTTAAATCAAAAAAATTTGGATATCTATTTGGATGCCTTAGCTGCGGCACTTTGAAATGATGTTTTTACTAGCAGAACCGTGGCCGAGGTGGTACAAGAGGTTTGTCATAATTCGATCAATGGGGATTAGATTTGTGCGTACATTATTTTAGAGTTTGCCAAAAATATGAACACTTCGTGGATCTAACTGTCGTCAGGTGTAATTTTAACCACATGAGAGGATATTAGACCCTTTGGTGAATTTTAAATAGCTGAAACCCACTCTCTCTCTCTTTTCTACTTCTCCTCCTCTATAACTCCCATTCCAAAATCTACACCTCCACTTGCATTTCTAATCACGACAATCGTACCGGCACACAACCTAAACGCCACAAGTAAGAATGTCGGCCATTCCTGAATTCAAGGGTGAGCACGATTTAGGCGAATAATAATGTTGCATATGCACTATATTGCACAAGTACTTCTCCACTATACCTAAATTGCGCCTTTGGCATATTATAACATAGCCTTTTCATTTCAAATGGCAGACTTTGTGATATTCATCATTGGCCCTTATACTTTGACTTCAGCTTCCTCCAAGGGGGGGGGGGATACATTTATAGCAGTTAATTAATAGCAGTTCATTAGCTGTCGTCTTGCTTCCCAGTATCTCCGGATTTCCGTCGTTGTCTTTAGGGCTGGACATCGAATCAGGTGGGTCTCCCCCATTTCCTCATGTAGGTTACATAGAGGGCATGTGAGTTGAGTGTTTACTCCCAATCTGTGAAAGTACTTTGCCAGGCAATCGTGTCCGGTACGTAGTTTAAACTCAACAACGGCTTCAATTCTTGGCCAGTCGGCTATGTCGGAGAGTGCCACTGTCCACTGTTTCTCCTTTGTTCGAGCTTTAGTTTCGTTACAACTTGAGGTCTTGAATTCTCTCCTGATTAAGGTCTTCATTGTGTGGAAAGGCATCGGCCGGTCCATGCATTGCAAAATTGTTGTCCCCTTCTTAGCAAGTGTGTCAGCAAGCTCATTGCCTTTAATGCCACAGTGACCAGGAGTCTATTGTAGGACCACTGTTTTGTTTTTCTCTCAGCAGCTCATAGAGTTTTCTACGTTCATTTATCTCAGCTGTTTTGGGTGGCTCCCTGTTTCAAATTGAGTTTATTGCTGACTGTGAGTCCGAAA